TCACACGGGAGACACACCAACAAGACAGCGTCGTCGAAGTGAAAATGAAATTGATTATAACGCAGAAATAACAATAGAATCCACATACCCAACAAAACCCACTTCCAATGAAAAACGTTTAAATTATCCAATAAAAGTGTTTTTAAAACGTACATCATCAACAATTGTTGATTTAACAGGATTCACAAATGATGAATTTGACGATATTTTCGATATAATACTATACAATGGAAGATGGGACGCTGTAAACAGAAAATATGTTAAACAGCGAATTGATTTAAATATACTTTCAGTAAACGAAAATCAAATTTTGAATTCAAAAGAATTGTTTTTATTGCTACTTACATTTCTCAAACACGCATTTGATTACAAAACATTATATGATATATTTGATTATAGAAAAAGAAGCAACATTTCAGAAGAAAAACAGATTTGTAAAAATTCAAAAATTAGTTTTATTTCGAGAAATTTAGAAAGATCATATTTACTTTTTGCAGTAAAAATGAAAAGGATTTTTATTGAAAGTTTAAATTGTATTCCCCAAAAACTTAGTGTAAATTTGGCAACAGGCAGAAGTCAAGATTATTTAAGGTTTATTCCTCAACTTGAACATTCATTTTACATCGTTGATGGAAGAGACCAAATGATTTTCACACAACTAAAAACATCAGAAAATGAACGCAAAGTAAAGGATGGTAGATATTTTACATTTAAACATCACTGTAGTGGGCTCAAAACAGAAGTTTATGTTAACTGTGATGGAATGGCTGTTAAAGTGTCAAATACTCAACAATGCGCAACAAATGATTTAACTGTCTACAAGTGTAATTGGGATCCCAGTTTTGTTTTGGAAAATGAATGGGTACTTGCAGATAGTGGATACAGAGGAGTCGGACAAACTTTGATACCTTATCCCAAAACTGGAAAAAACGAACAGATTGTATTAACAGAAGATTACTTGATCAATATGAGTCTAATGATGAATGGTTCTGAACATAGATTGAGAATTAGAGGAAACTTCGAAGGAACTTTAAAAAACGATGTATTTAAAGGAGGTGTAAGTGGTTCTGTTGTCGATATAGTTCACTATGATACGGAAACAGTGCAGGAAATAGAACTATACACGTTGTTCAGACAAGTTGACGTGACAGAAAGAGATGCCAAATGTAGGGTGTGTTGCACTACAACTTTTGAAACAAAATTTGAGGATGTTTCAAACTCAACATATCAAATCTTGGGCGTGCTCGAAGTTTCGAATGTTGAGTCTATTATTGATTCGAACCATTTTGAATGTGAGCGGGGCACAATTGAATGTGAATCAATGATGTTATTAACAAAAGTAGACAATTCACTTATTAAAGCGTACAATGCAGTTCACTCAAGTGTCAGAATTCTCGTTGAAAATCATTTTGGTCGACTGATACTATCATTTAAGTTGATGAGAAACAAATACGGGCTATTAAAAAGAGATTATGAGTCTCTAGTCAATATTGCTCATTCACTTTGTAATTACCACATATCAAAAAAGCCATTAAGAAAGTTTCCTTTTTATCTCTTCAAAAGAATGGCAGATGGAGATTATTCGACCCCTATTGGAACAACCCCAATTCAACTCCCACGAATTGCTGGAGAAATTGTGTCAAAATTGAGTGGAGAGTATCATAGAGCAAAACTAGTTCACAACGAAAACAATTTAAGACAATACAATTCAATAAACGAATTTCTGGGTGTTGGAAATTCTTCAAGAGCAATTCAACAAATAGTTATTCCAACTGAACCACATTCTTCAACTACAAATGAGTTAATTGATGATGCCACATCATTACTGAGACCTTTTCCAGTGGAGAAGTGGGAGAAATCATTTTTTCAGAAAGTTTAATGAATGAAATTAACGATGAAATTGATTTTTGAAGAACCGGCAATTT